CTATTGGCGTGCCCATGGCCATTTACGCAATAGGGGCTAGTTATTGTGAGACTATTACCTCGGGCCCCTGGAAATAAGAAGTTTCTCCTCGGTGCAACTAATTATTTCTCAAAGTGGGTGAAAGTTGAGCCCCTAGCTCACATCAGAGATACTGATACAAGGAAGTTCGTTTGGAGGAACATTATCACTAGATTCAGAATCCCTAATGCACTCATCTCTGATAATGGAACTCAGTTTGATAGTGGTCCCTTCAAAACTTTCTGCCAATAGTATAAATTTTGGAACCACTATTCGACCCGACTTATCCTCAGAGTAATGGACAAGCGGAGATTTTCAACAAGATAATACTGACGGTATTAAGAAGAGGTTTTAGGATGCCAAAGGAAGGTGGGTTGAAGAATTGCGAGTGTACTGTGGACGTACCGAACCACACCTCGCGCTCAACTGGAGAAACCTTATTTGCTTTAGCCTATGGGATGGAGACGGTGATTCCATTAGAAGTCTATTTGCTGACCTTAAGAACCGAGTTGGTTATAAACAAATGTAACGATGCTGCCATCACTCGGGACCAAGATTTAGCAGAGGAGAGAAGAGAGCAAAACAGCAATACAGATGACTTCTTATCGGCAACAGATGTCTTGGGCCTACCACAAGAAAGTTAATCCTTGGGTTTTCACCCTTGAAGACTTAGTCTTGAGGCGCATTCTGAGCTCAGCTAAGAACCCAACAAATGGAAAGCTCAAGCCCAATTGGGAAGGGCTATACCGAGTAGCCCGAGTAGGAGGAAATGGGTACTATAAGCTAGAGACTTTGGACCATAGAATGGTGCCACATCCCTAGAATGCTGCAAATCTAAGAAAGTTCTATTTCTGAAAAGTGTCTTTTCAAAAATGGAACTTCGAAGTACCTTCGAAAACGTAAGGGTGTCTCTTATCTTGAAAAACTAGCAAGATCACTCTTACTAATGTATTGATGAACAAAAGTTATGGAAGTTTTCAATACACATCTTTCTGTTCCTTATCATCAAAAAATGTCCTACTGCTAAGGTAGAGAGGCAAGAAACCCTGATAGAGGTATATATTTAAATCAGGCGCAGCCACCCGATCAGATCCAGTCTCTCAGCTAGGCATGACGATGTAAGCTAATTTGGATGGATTTGAATCCGATTAGATCGACGGGTCGGTGTGAAGTAGAAAAGTCATTGAAAGCAATCTAAAATGAAAATTAGAGGCTAACTCTACTAGATGACCGAGCTCATTGAAGAAGGGGCCGAGCCAAGGCCATAACTTCGAGAGTAAGAATTTTTTCTAATTATTTCGAGGTCTCTGTTGAGAGACCAACCTCTTTGAAGAGGGGCTAAGCAAGGGCCACAGCTTCGAGAGTCTAAGAACTTTTTAAGTATTTCAAGGTCTCTGTGTTGAGAGATCGAGTTCTTTGAAAGGGCCGAGCAAAAGCCACAACTTTGAGAATCTAAGAATTTTTTCTTAGTATTTCAAGGTCCCTATTGAAAGACCGAGCTCTTTTGAAGAAAAGTCGAACAAAGGCCTCAAACTTCGAAAGTCAAGTTTTTTCAAATATTCAAAATTAATCACAGAAAATGAAAGGTTAAAAATCATTTTTTCATTTAAGCTTCAAAAGATTACAAGATCATCTAAATAGGATCTTTTGAACATATACATCAAAAAAGCACAAAAATCTTCCAAGTCTTGTTTAGGAAGCAAGAGGCTGGGAGGAGCTTGGTAGGGAATGCCTAGAAAAAAGTTTAGAAGAATATGGAACTCCAACAGCAATTAGAGCGCCATGTCAGCCCTTGCTAAAGTATGCATCCTGAAGTTGAGGGATCTGCAAATTCAATTCATTTTCCGCCTTCTCAACTCCTTTGTCATATGCAACATCTTCTCTCTCCTTTGCCTCAACCTTGTACTATTCAAACTCCTTCAGAAGACTAGTGTAATCGAGCTGGGATTGAGAGAGTTCTACGTTCACCTCATGTTCAGAATCTTTTAGTTGCCCATTCTTGGTCCGAAGCTTTTGGTTCTCCTCGGTCAGGCTTTGATTTTGAGCCTGCAGAACCATAGCCTCTTCATAGATTTTGGCATACTCTTCGTCTACAAACTCTTTCTTGGCTAAGGCTAAGGCTCGGGCTTGGATGACATCTTTTATAGCCTTATCTTTCTTGGCTATCCTAGCCCCCACCTTGTGAACTTTTTTGCAGACCCTTAAAATTGAAAAGAGGAAAAACTTAGACAATTTATGAAGAAAGAAGAAAAGGCCTAAAGGAACAAATCTTACAGAGACCATGTGTTGAATAGCCTGGCAGGACATTTTGTCGTCTGTTAAAGCTTCGTTCGTAGCCAGGTCTCGAGGCAGAATGACTCCTCTGGCGACCCCCACCACAACGTTAAAGTCTTCGATAGCTCTTTTATAGTGATCTCTCTCCTTTTGGCCTTGAGGATAGGTCGAAAATGAGGATTAACTGGCTTTGGGAAAGACTTGTTTCAGACTCGGCAATTCTTCGCCTTTTAGGGGCAGGTCCTCAACAAGTTCAAAAATTGAGTCATTTTGATCAGGAGAATGAATAGAATGAGGATCTAATTCAATATGAATTGATGTTTCAGCGGCTCGAGCGAAGTTTGCTAGGTCGCTGATTGGCGGAATTGCATTGTCTGGCTCGGGAAGAACAATTTCTGTAGGAATCTTGATTGCATATTCTTCTTCTCGAACAGTGATCAAAGGAGCTTAAGGATCAAGTGGCATGGACTGTTCGACATTTTGGGTCAGTTTGACAGTTGATAAAAAGTCTAAATTCTTCACCGTTCTTCTTCCAGAAATTGCAAGTGAAGACCTCTTACGAGATCGGGGAGTCTGTTCCCAAGTTGTCTGAATGGCCTCCCGATCTGCGGCAAGAATAGCATTGGGACGATTCAGCACGACTATGAAGAATGTATAGGTCGGCGTATACCTAAGCAGGGTATGAGCAGCTCGACAGAACAAAGACTCATTGTAGCCCCAAACTATTATGAGTTCACCCATTTTCACAGAAGACTTAAGAATTCTACCCTTCACAGTATTGCCTTCAAACAAAAGAAAGCTTATGTCAGAAAGGAGTGGACAAACAAGCCAATGTAGAAGAGTAAAAAATATAGATACCTGGAGTGCCTTCTTCGTAAGGGCAACGATAGGATGGAACAACACCAGCGGCATACTCCCAATTTTCAGAAACAAAGACAATATCGTTCTCATGACCTTTGTTAGTAGCTGGGAGATGAGTCACCAAGTAACAGTCCTTCTTCCTCACCGCCAGATAGTAGTTGTCTCCAGTCAGTTTGATGATGTAGCAGTATAAAATCTCCTATAAACCAAGACTCAAGCCCAGAAGCTTGTTCACAGCAGCTACCCCCATCACTATCCTGAAGAAGTTGGGGCAGCATTGGATGGGGCAGAGTTTAGTTGCAGAAAGTACCCAGAGAAGGAGAAGGTCCAGAGGGAATCGGACTTCACCCTCAGTGATCACTCGAGTATGAATGAGAATGCTTTCTCTTGTGCCTATCAGAGGTTCGTCTTTTCTAGCGACTCTTACGTCAACTTCATCTGGAATATTGTATTTAACTTTGAAAGCAGGAGCTTCAGGAGAAGTAAGAGGGGCCATGGTAGAAGATGACGAAGACAAAAGAAAAGAAGTCAAGGAGTTCGAAAAGACAGTAAAGAATGAATGAAAGAGGTTACCTATAAAAGAGGGAATTCCAAAAGGCTATTTAAATACCAAGCATGTCGCCAAAACAAGGGGAAATGTGACAAGTATGCGCAATGATGATTGAAAAGACATAAAACAGGTGACAGACGAAAGACGTCTATCAGACATTTTTTGGGGGCAAATGAAAGGGGTGGTTCCCTTTATTGTATATGTTATGACATTAAATGAGCTCATGTGAGTGACAAAACAAGGCACGTGATGGAGACATCAGACACTCAATAGTCCGGAGCAGAGCTGTTTGATGAGTTCGGTAAGAAACGAAAGAGGTCAATCCTCATTGCGACCAAGCTGTTTCAACAGTCAAACAAAGAGCAAAAGATTTGCCTATAACTCAGGCATCCTAGATAAGCTAATGGGCTTAATGATAGGCCAGGCTAAGGGAATTGCTAGAGGGATTTCAACAACTTCCCAACAGAGTCACCTAATTGAAGGAAGGTATGTCACCTTGAATCAAAAATTATGAAACCCTAATTGAACAGGGATCTATAAAAAGCACAAGGAGCCAGAGTGAAAGGTATGCTGAACTCTCATTGTCTTCTTACAATTGTTTCAGTTTCATTACTCACTTAAGCATCGAAGTGCTCTTCAATTGAAACACTTCGATCTTGGACAGTTTGTTCGTTTTACAGGAAGCAAAGACAGGAGAATTAGGTTCAGAGCTCACTCTTATAAAAAATGTTCATTTTTCATTCTTGAAGGAGGTGTCCTCAATTTTTACCTCTTACAATAAGAAAAAAAAAAGAAGATAAAGTTTCATCTAATTGAAAGAAGTTCATGTCTGATTATAAATATCATAGTCCATCATAAGATTTTCTCTTATAATTTTTTTTATGAGTTGTAATTTAATATTTAAAAATTATAACTTTTTTTTTATGATTGATTCTAATATTTTAAAATCGATCATAAATTTTTTGCAATTTTTGGTACGGTGTTAATAGCTGTCTTTTTTTCGTATTATATAACAGTACAGTAGTAATAGAATAACTCCGAACAGTACCAAGAGTCGCAGCTGCCAAATATGTCCTTACTTGCACGTGCCGCCTATATAATTACCACGTCAGTTACATGATGACGAAAATCAGTATTCATATAGATCAGAAGATTATGGCCAAGAGAAGCTCATTACGATAGTGGTGGTACACAATTCCAAGCTACAAACTTTACTCAGAGAGAGAGAGAGAGGTTTTGTGCAAGCCTATCAGCTACTTTCAACTCGGTTCTCTCATTTTGCAACCAGAGAAACCAAATGGGGGAGGTCCTAAACTCCAAATCTTCACTCAAATTCAACCATTTTTTGTTTCTCTCTCTTGTTTCTATGTACTGACATGGTAATGTTTGGTGGAGTTTTCAGGAACAGAAGAAACTAGAGGAAAAGAATCCGGAGGAAAAGAAACCAGAGGAAGGGAAAAAACCAGGGGAAGAGAAAAGAGAAGACCCAAAATCCGAAAAACCAAGCGACGGAAAGGGAGAAGAGAAAAAAGGAGAGGAACCCAAGGATGGAAAAGATTCCAAAGACCCACCACCTCCTCCTCCTCCTCCTCCTCAAGAGATTGTTCTCAGAGTCTTCATGCATTGCGAAGGTTGCGCCAGAAAAGTCCGTCGATGCCTCAAAGGGTTCGAAGGTTTGAACTCTGTTCTGCAATGTTTTTGGTCTATGGCCTCTCTCTCTCTCTCTGTCTCTCTCTATCTAAACCATTTTTGGTTTTCAGGAGTTGAGGATGTTGAGACGGATTGCAAGACGCATAAGGTCGTTGTGAAGGGAGAAAAGGCAGATCCATTGAAGGTACTTGAGAGAGTACAGAAAAAGAGTCACCGACAGGTTGAGCTTCTCACTCCGATCCCGAAACCGCCGGCCGACGAACCCAAAAAAGTTGAAGAGAAAGAAATTGCCAAACCCGAACAAAAAACAGAGGAGGTTTTTGTAATTTCTTGTGTATTTATTTGGGATTTTTTAAAAAATAATTTTGGGGGTTTTCTTATGAATTTGTTTGTTGGTGGGGTTGTTGAGGTCATGGTTTTGTTGTGTTTCAGCCTCAGGTGATTACAGCGGTTTTGAAAGTCCACATGCATTGTGAGGCTTGTTCGCAAGTAATCAAGAAACGTATAGAAAGAATGAAAGGTAAAAAAAAAATTTGTTTTTTTCCTTTATTTTTTATTCACGAGATTCTTCATATGCTCGGTAATCTATTGGTTTCAATTGGGTTTAAACAATTTCTCTTAAGCCCAAGGAAGCTAAAGTGGTAACAGAAGGTTGCACGGATTTATAATATTCTAGTCGACTTAAAATTGGATAGGGGAGTAATACGCATGAGTTCGTCCGAACACTTTAACCATTGAAAAAAAAAAAATCTCTTGCTACCCTTTTTAGCTGTATTTACAGTCCCAAACACCCAACTATTTTCTTTTCTGTTTGAATCTCTAAAATAATAGAGTTTTTTGATTCTATTTTCCCAATCTTTATATTCTTTAAGTGGAATAAAATAATTTTTTTTTGAACTCTGTCTTGGTGTAATAAAATATTGAAGTCTTTAGATTCTGCTGGACTCTGTCAAAATTCAAGTCAATTCAGTCTTCTTTAATTTCAATTTAATGCCAGATTTTACTTAAAATATTACACTCCCATCAATACCCAATTCCAAAAAATTTCCACCAAAAACTCCAATCTTTTTAAATTGATGTTTGAACCCAGATGGGTGGTAGAGAAGGCTAATGTTTAAGACTTAAGACTATAGAGTAACATAAATTCAGACGTCTTTTGAGTTAAAATTTCACTGGTAATTGATGGTATAAAGGGTTTAGATATTAGATTAACATTAGGTTCCTTCATATTATTTTTTTCATTCAGGTGTTGAGAGTGCAGAGCCAGATCTAAAGAGCTCACAAGTGACAGTGAAAGGGGCGTTGGAGCCACAAAATCTGGTGGAATACATACACAAGAGAACAGGGAAGCAGGCAGTGATTGTGAAGGTAGACCCAGAGAAGAAAGAGGAAGAAGATAAAGCCAAAGAAGAGAAAAAAGGAGAAGAAAAGGATGACAAGAAAGTTGAAGAAGAGAGCAAAGAGAAGAAGAAGGAAGCCATTGAAGAAGCTGCAAAAGCAGCAGCAGCAGCAGCAGCAGCAGCGGCAGAGGGAGAAGAACAGAGCCCATAATTGAGCTAAAAAAGAATGAATATCGCAACTACTACCCACACAACTTCCAGCTCTATAATCAAGGTTTTACCCAAGAATATTATGCATTCCCCCCTCCTCCTCCTCAAATCTACATTGATGGAAACCCTAATGCATACCCTCCTCAAATCTTCAGTGATGAAAACCCTAATGCATACCATCCTCAAATCTTCAGTGATGAAAACCCTAATGCATGCTCAGTTATGTAAATTTTGAGGAATCTTAGGGGTGCAATGGGGAATTTTGGGTTGTGGGGTGGCACATGGGTAATGTCCATGGCTGTTTTCTTCTTCAGACCTTTGTTGTGCTCTGCATGTGGCTATGTTTGGGGCTCTAGGTGGGAAAGCTGTGTAATTTTGTGAGGTTTTTGTACTTTTTTGGTCTTATGTATTATAATCTCTGTCACATACTATAAAACAACAGTGCATTAAGGGTATATAAAAATGCTTAAGATGTTGTACATATTTTTGTTCTGTTTAGGCCTATCAAAGGATCCATTTAACATTGGAATAATCCAATACGATTATCAGAGGGATTAGATTTTGACAATTCTTAAGACCAAGTATAGAGAATTATATCTTGATATCAAATCAATTTGATCGACTAAGCTCTCAATTTTATCTTAGGTGTAAACAACATAAGCTTACTTTGGATTTGAAATCTGTAAAAAATGATTTTACAAATTCGTATTTGGATAATCGGTTAAAAATAACAATTGAAATTGAATTTATAGTTGACTAATTGGATTCTAAAATTCCTAAGTTCCGAGTTGCAACGCTTAGGATAGGTTGAATATTTTTATGTTGGGAACTGCTTCAGCAAGTGGGGTGTCTGTTTGGTAAATTTGATAGAGGACAAAGAAATCCAATTAAATGATGAAAGAGGTTAAAACTTGATAGAGGAGGACAAAGAACTCCACCAGGACAGTGGCTGGTAGGTGAAAAGTACGGAGAGAGAATTTTTAGCGCCACGGTGAATTTCTTAGTGGATTTGGCAGGGAATTGTGAGTAGGTGAAGGGAAATATATCATTTTCCTGTTTGATGGTCACATCAATGGTGGTTGGTCCTACCTTCTATTTTCTTTGCTGAATTCTAATCCTAACTGAACTAACTGCAACAGGATTTAGAATACAATACCTAATACGTCACTAAAAAGACAATAAAGTCAATATCTTGCATGTAGGATGGTGGGTAAGTATATCAGACTTTGATTTGAATATAAATTCGATTAATCGGATATAAGTTAATATTTTTGATCAGTACTTACAACCTGCATCTATCATATAACAATTTATTGGTTTGAATTTTGGATACATTAATGTCCGACCTAATTTTAATTTCTAATTTTCAAAAAAAAAAATTTTGATCAAAAAGAGGGAGAAAGAGAATGACTAGTAGATAGTAACTTTTATTGGACGTGACTATGAGGGTATCTCCCACTGTAGAAATATTTGGTTTGAACCATAGTAACTAACTCTAAAGTGTAGTGCATCACCACAGAACCATTAAAGTGAAGCAGCAAATCGCATTACTTCTATAAATCGAACTTTATTTGATTACATGAGAGTCAAGAAAGACCCTAAACAAGAACAACTTATCACTAGACCACCGACTTAAGTAATATATATTCAACAAATTTAGACACAAAACAATAAAACCTACACAGTAAAAATGTAATCAAGCCTAGGGCTATTGTTTGGTCTACATCCCATTGATGAATTGGCTATCACTACTCTCCCCTTCTCAAATCTTTTGATAATGCAATTTCATGTTCCAAAAGTTACCCCCAATCCTTTAAACCTACTTTTGGTGATGGCTTATCAACCATAATAGTAAAGTATGTTGGCCTTGCAATAGAAATTGGACTGTTGAATAGTAGTATGAACCTTTGATTTTCAACGATCACTACAACAAATTTGTTTTAGTGGTAGTGCCATCAGGTCTTTCCTATTCACATGCCTAGTCACATGAATCCCCAGTACATGTTCTCATCAGTGGGGGACAAAGAGAGATGATAGAAAAATAAAAGATTTTGCAAGGTTTTTGGATTAGTCTTGGGTATGGACAAAACTTCTTGTTATTATATTAAAAAATAATTTGTAATTATAGTCTTCGGTTGAAGTACATTATTGATCATGAAAATAATAAAGTAAAGAGAAATAATAACATAAGAAACTTTATAAATGTCGCATTCTCATGGATGAAAAAATAAGGTATAGTATCAAAAAATAATTTTATAGTACTATAATTGAACATTAAGTTGTAACCCTAAAATTGGTTGAGAAATTGCACTGAGAGAGAAAAGTTTGGCATGTCCACGTACCAAGGGACGTGACAACATGGAATGGATTGATTCCTACGGAGAACTAGGGGTAGTAAACAAAATGAGCTATTTAAACTAGGCTCGAAATCAATTTGTTTTAAAATTGATTCATCTGATGAATGAATCAAGTTTAAGTACATTCTTAAGATTGTCGAGTAAGTGAGTTTAGAACGAACTCAACTTGATAAGTTAATTGGTATCCTGAGATATAATACAAAATGTCCAAGCTATGATCAAGATCAGCTTGGTAAAATTGCCCATTTATAACATCAAGAATAACATTCTCTCTCTCTCTCTCTCTCTCTCTTCTCTAAGATGGCAAGGTCGGGTCATGCATTGCCTTTACAAAGTGCATGTCGAAGGCTGCAAGCCCATTGTCATGCCTGTCTGATTCAACAGTCAATAATTTGCTTTCAAATTGGATCATGAATTGGATACCTCTTCAAAACTTTTGGGGTGTGTTTGGATTGGGTATTAAGATGGATTGGATTAGACAGTTACATCCATTCCATAACCATCCAGCTAGAAAAGAAAAACAAATTTAAAACTTATCTTTTTTAATATATGTTTATGTTGGTTCAGGTATTAAGAAGTAGTGAACTCCACATTTACCTCATCCAATATTTTGTTTGGATAGAGTATTTAATAATGTATAAATAATAAATTAAGAAAGAACTCGTACAATAAAAAGTAATACATTTACCTCATCCCAACTGAATTATTCAAACCTATTAAATAAGTGGGTTTATTTAAAAAGGTGTATGTGGCTATAAATCACTATTCATCCAGGCCTTGGCTTATTTATAGGTAATAATACCGGGTCAAAAATAAGTGTTCAAACATAAGTGTAAGTTGAATAAGGTGGCCAGACATTATTTTTTTCAATCCTTTTTTGTTAATATGTAAAATAAAACACACCCTTTTTTAGTACAACTTCATTGCCACACGTTGTATACTCCACCTCATACACAAGGGTGATTTTTTTGAGTTCGATGGGGTCACAAAACTGCACACAAGTTTTGTGGCTAACTTTTTATTGAGACCCGCCACATGCATTATGGTATCCCTTTATACATTTTAAAGAATAATAAAGTTCAATTTCATATAGATGAATGGGATGAGAGTTGTTATAAGTATAGTATATGGGGATCGAATTTACTTCTTCAATGCTTTATTTGAATCACATAACATCGTCTATATGGAAATTAAGCTTGCAGTTTGGGTTGTTCAACCTCGACCCATTCTCGAAATATGCTGACAAACATTTTTTATACTCAAGTTGAGCTTGAATAAAAACTCCAAACATTTATTTAAGAGTATTAAGCTTATTTCAATCTCAAAATTGAACTTGTATTTCGTACCTATTTTTATAACTTGAGTTCAAAATTTTAAGAAGAGATGGCACCCAGGTTTTAAGTTGAAACTGAGTTGATAATATTTTTTTTTCTTTTTTTTGAGTTCGAGTTCTCCTCTTTAACCTGTCTAACTTGTTTGTCTCTCTTATAGGAAAAAAAAAAGTTGAATATGGTCGGATTTGGTTTGCTGGTGTAGACATTATTGTAGAACATGGAAGAGTGGTGGCCATGCTGGTTCAGAAACATGTAGAGAAGTCACTGTCTTATTTCTATATATATATGCAGTTTGCTGGGAATGATGAAACCATTTTGTGGATTAGTAGAAAGTGATCATTCAAAGTTGCGTTTGTTAACTCGTGAAAGGGAAAAAGGATGGGCTCTCTTTACCTCCCATGTTTTACTCCTGCACGCCTGCTGCATCTCTCTCTCTCTTCCAAATGCTCAATTTTTGTTTAAGTAATTGATTCTAAAAACCCAAATTGTTAGAATTCTCATTGCGAAACTCTTCTCCATCGACAATATGCAGGATTCAAAGCTCTCCTTTACATCCCATATTGGTAATTCTAAAAAATATTAATAATTACATTCCTTATAAAACTAACTATCAGGTAGATAATATATAATTTAAAACGCAAGAAGTCGGCATATGGATGAATAAAAAAAATTAATGTGATGTAAATATTTGTCAAGACTCAATAGATTTTAGGGAAAAACATAATACCTATTAGTAAGTTTTCCTTAACAAAAAGATATTTTATGAACATAGAATTAAACTAGAAGGGGATTTGGTTTATTTTTCAAAACTACTCATATACTCTTGTTAATTGATATTATTATTTTCTATCTTGTTGCTAAAAATAAAAAGAAATGTGACTGGGGATTAAAGAGTAATTTTGACATGCCCCAAAAATATGACATTGGGATACGAGGGCCTTGTTCTTTTAGCCCTAAATTGCCATGAAGGGCCACTTTACCGTACACATTGGCCTGACACAATTTAATGCTGTTGAGGCAAAACAGCATCGAAATTTGGACACTTTTTTCTACTTTATCAACTCACTTCATATTTACATTAGAAAATACAATATTTATCAAATTCTCTTATCACATTAATCTCTATTAAAAGGGTATGCCCTTCAAAAAACAAAATATTAAGACAAATTTGGAGGCCGGTCCTACTTTATGGATTTGTTTGAGTTTAAGTCTGTCAAAAAAACTTATTTGTTATGAAGTCTATTTTTTGTCAATTTTACCATACTATCTATTCCCTTTAGAAGTGAAATAAAATTAAAAATTAAAAACTC